CCCTGTGTCCAGCCTGGCCTTGAACACTGCCAGGGATGGGGCAGCCACAGCTTCTCTGGGCACCCTGTGCCAGCGCCTCAGCACCCTCACAGGGAAGAGCTTCTACGTTATCTCCAGCCTGAACTTTCCCTGTTTCAGTTTGAACCCATCACCCCTTGTCCTATCACTGCAGTCCCTGATGAAGAGTCCATCCCCAACATCCTTGTAGCCCCCTTCAGCCACTGGAAGCTGCTCTGAGGCCTCCACGCAGTTTCTCTTCTCCAGGCTGAACAGCCCCAACTTTCTCAGCCTGTCTTTGTATGGGAGGTGCTCCAGCCCCTTAAATGACACCAGAGGTGGGATGTCAAAGGGATGATATTAACAAATAGTGCCAGAGACCTGCTTAAAATGGGCCTGTCCTATTAAATAAAAATAACTTATTTCCCTTGAGCCACCTTCAGCCCCTTTTTCTCCCTCGATGTTCTCCAGCCTTTCTCACACTGTTGTCGTCTCCTGCTCCTCCTGACGTGTCGTTTTCTTCCCCTTCTCTCTTTTCTTCCCCCCCATCACAGTTGAGTCTCTCCTCTCCCTCTGTACTTTATAGGTGATGCACAATCTCTTTTGTACTTCATTTTTTCTCCTCTCTGTGCCTGCTTCAGCCTCTTTCTCCTGCTGTGTTCACATAGGTCTTCCCCTTCTCTTCCACTGGCGTTTTACATTATCCTTGGAATAGCATCTTCCTTTCTCATCCAGCGGCTGTTTTCCTAGGTCCTGACTTGTATGAAGGAATCTCCCTTTTTTTCCTGATATCATGGAATTCTTCCATATCTGCTCAGCTGAGCCCAAGCCAAGGAAAATCAGTAGCTTGGCCTTGGAGATGTGGAGCGCAGTTTGCATGGTGTGGGGAGGAGAGGTGCAGGAAGAAACGTGAAACATCCGTGTGTCAGGATGGGACATGAGGGCTGCATCCAATGGAAGGACAGCAGAAAGCATGGTGGGAAGTTGAAGGTTACACGAGGCTGGATGAAGGGAGAAATGGGAAGAGGTTGTGGCCTCTGAATAGAATAGAATGGCTGGTGTTGGAAGGGTTGGAAGAAGAGGCTCGTGAAGGTCTGCTGGATTTAACACCTAAAGAGACCTATGAATGTCTGTCATAATTGTGCTTTAGCAATTCAGAAGCTGAAGTTTGTGTCATTTCTGAGGAAATGGGAGTTTTGGTGCTCCTTGACCGCACTTCAGGAGAGAATGGGGCTGTGCTGAACAGCGGCCATGGTCTGTTAGAGGCTTTGCACTGCCATCACCACATCTGGTGTTTCTCAAGCTCTAGAACACATCATTAATGGTTAGAATAAATTGGCTACCAGAAAGCTCCTGATAAATGGAATGTGGTGTGTAGCCAGCTGGAGGAGGTAACCACTGCAAGTAAAACATGCCCCATACAAGAGAGAATTGTTTGGAAGCTCCCTTTCAAGCAAGAAAGGAAGCTGTCCAAGTTTGTAACTTCTTGGCATTTGATGTTTCATATAAACAACATAATGCCTTGCTCGCTCAGTGCGGAGTCACTCGACTTGTTGAAACTGCATCCTCAGCCCTTGGAACGATGACATAAACAGATCTCTTGAGCACTTCCCTCCATCTGGGTGTTACTTTTCCCATCCTTGTCACTTCTGCGCTAGGGTCACTGACGGGTGTTGTGTATTTCCTGTTTGCAACCCAGTGATTGAAGCGTAATGAAATGTTAGAGCAAAGACTGTAAAATGATTGAACAAACCTGATGGCTGGAATGGAGTCTGAAGGTTTTGCAGGTCCAGTTCACTGTTTATAGTGTTTGGTGCTATGTGATGACAAAGTTCAAACTGAAAGGAGAAAAAATGATGCCTTGAATCGTATTGGGCAACAGTGGATGTTTCCTGGTCCCAACATGCAGCCATGTCCATCCCTTTGGAAGAAAGCGCTGTTCCCTGGTAACAGAGTTCCTAGGTAAAATGAAATGTTTAATTCAAGGGTTTTGTTGATGGTGAGAGAGGGTTGGGATTTTTTCAAGCAGTTTTTGAAAGCAGAGCAATTGGATTTATGGAAAAATCAGCTTTTACAGAGAGCAGAATTTTTCAGTGTAAAGTTATTTAGTATCTAAATATATAAAGTGAAATAATTGGGAAAAGGCCTTATCCAGAGCGTGAGCAGCTGGGTCTTAAAGGTGTCCACATAATACAGGGGAGAAAGAACAGGGTTTGAACCTGTTTGGGGATGGGACCCATCAACATGAACCTGTTGGTTGTCCTGAGGTCTCTTCCATTCACTTTGCACTTTAAGCCTGGCTTCATTCCCAGGGAACAGGGAAGTGCTTTGAAACCTTGGAAAGTTTTACAGGATAGTTTTACCAGTGCTAGGCCAAGGGGAATGGCTTTAACCTGCCCGAGGGGAGACTGAGATGAGCTCTTAGGCAGAAGCTCTTCCCTGGGAGGGTGCTGAGGCGCTGGCACAGGGTGCCCAGAGAAGCTGTGGCTGCCCCATCCCTGGCAGTGTTCAAGGCCAGGTTGGACACAGGGGCTTGGAGCAAGCTGCTCCAGTGGAAGGTGGAAGATTCTCTGGTGACAAAAGTGTTTCCCACCCAGCTCTGGCTCTGTCGGTGAGGAGCTCGATTCCTAGCACCAGGCTGAGCTCACAGCGCTGGCTTTTGGCAGCTTCTCTGATTTGAAGGTGGAGAAAATGTCACGGGGAATAAATAACATCAAGATGAATTTTGGTGCAGTCACATTTCTGATGTTCTCAAAATGCCTTTCCCAGATCTTCATTGCTTCAGATCCACCTATTGAGCTTCGCATTCAACCTGCAGTTTAAGGCTTACTCAATAGATCAGTACATCCAGCACAAGGATCAAGAGTGGACATGAAGGGGCTTAAGTTAGCTGAGTTGTAACTGGAGTATGTCCCAATATCCAGCAGTGACCATTCCCTTTACTGTGAGGGAGCTAGAGCTCTGCTTACAGCAATGTGGTTTCTGTTACTGGGTACCTGATATCAAGGGATGGCCACTTAAGAACTTTGTGCTATGGACTCCACACGTTATAATCCCCAAATAAATAGGGTTGTTGAAAAGAAATAGCTGCCTTCATTATTGCTTTACCCAGTGCTGTTCTCTAAGGGAATAAATTACATTTTAACTGGCTGGTAGGAAAAAAACTGTTAGGAATTTGGAGGTATCCATTGAAGCTTAAGCCATATGTATTAGGGCTTGGTAACTGAAATAAAACCCTACCTCCATCAGCACTCTGTGCATCACAGCTCATTGTGAGTGTGAAAGGAAATTGTTGCATTAGACCACATTGGTAATTTCATATATTATTAGTTAAAAGCCAGCACTGAGCCAGCAGTGTGTGAGGACCCCACAGCCTGATGGCTTCCTTTCTTGGTACCATGCTTCGCAGTCACAGAGCTCAGAGGCTTGATGCATCACCCCGTCTGCTGTGAACCGAGGGCTGCTTATTGCAGGTGTAAAGCCAGAGAGCCCTAATCATGGCCCACAGCATGGGACACATTCCATGTGAGTGCACACGGCATCCAGGAAAGCCACAGCAATCTCACGTGTGCAGTGGCCTTGGCTGTATGGTGTTCCCAGGTTCAGAAATGTGGTTTATGCAATATTCTGTGCTCCAGGGCAGTAGTGCTCTTCATGGAATCAAAGAGTGGTTTGGGTGGGAAAGGACCTTAAAGCTCCTCCAGCTCCAACCCCTGCCACAGGCAGGGACCCCTTCCCCTAGAGCAGCTTGCTCCAAGCCCCTGTGTCCAACCTGGCCTTGAACACTGCCAGGGATGGGGCAGCCACAGCTTCTCTGGGCACCCTGTGCCAGCGCCTCAGCACCCTCACAGGGAAGAGCTTCTGCCTAAGAGCTCATCTCAGTCTCCCCTCTGGCAGGTTCAAGCCATTCCCCTTGGCCTGTCCCTACAGGCCCTTGTCCCAAGCCCCTCTCCAGCTTTCCTGCAGCCCCTTCAGGCAGTGGAGCTGCTCTCAGGTCTCCCCTTCAGGAGCCTTCTCTTCTCCAGGCTGCCCCAGCCCAGCTCTCTCAGCCTGGCTCCAGAGCAGAGCTGCTCCAGCCCTCACAGCAGCTCCGTGCCTTCTGGAGGGGTTTGGTACAAAACTGCTCCCTCCTGCCTTGCTGGGACAGTTTTGGATGCTGCCAGTGACGTTTGGAAAGAAAACCCAGTGGAGCAGGAAAAGGCTGTTTGACCTGGCAGACACTCCCAGCAAAAGGCCAGGCAGTGATGTGTGAGGGACAGGAGGAGCTGGAGCAGCCTGACCGGAGAGAGCACTGCAAGCAGCGAGAGATCTCTGTGGGTATCTTAGTAATATTGCAGACAGAAACAGGACAGTTGGTAGATTGGACTGAGAACATATCACTGTTCTTTAATAAGTGGGCAGGGTTTAGTGGATGCGGAGTTTGGGTAGCTGGAAATTGAGGTGACTTGGGGAAAGAGGAAGTTCTCCCTTGTTTTTCCCTATTCAATTGGTTTTCTGAGTGAGGGCTCACGAATGTGCAGTAACTCTGATGCCCCCTCCTTCATGGGGATCTGTCCTTTGCAGGTGCTGCCGTGATGTCAGGTCCTCAGTGGGTGCTCTCTGCCTGCCCCTACAGAGCTTGACATTTGCAAACAGCAAATAATAAATAAGTTCAAGGAAACAATCGCACATTATTACTGACAGTGAGCACTTAACCAGAGCTTGGAGCACAGTCCTAGCGCTCCCTGCTCGCTGTGGGCTCCGCCTGTGTCACTGTCTGTCACTGTCTGTGAGCAGCTACAGCTTCACTCCATTTATTCCTCCAGCGGCAGGTCCAGTCATTCCTCAGATCAGTGCCTGGTTTTCCCAGCTGATTCGCCTGGATTTATGTCACAGGGAGTTAGCACTCACTTCTCCTAAAGACCTCACCTGCCACGATGCATGAGGCTCAGCAAATCGAGACCGCTGCTTTGCCCACCCTGCCCTGATGAAGCTGTGGGTTTTGTTCTTTCTCTCTTCGCCAGGTCGTTGCTTATCACTACTGCCAGGCTGACAATGCCTACACCTGCCTGGTGCCGGAGTTTGTGCACAACGTGGCCGCGCTGCTCTGCCGCTCGCCCCAGTTCGTCGCCTACAGGGAGCAGCTCCTGCGAGAGCCCCACCTGCAGAGCATGCTGAGCCTGAGGTCCTGCGTGCAGGACCCCATGGCCTCCTTCCGCAGGGGAGTCCTGGAGCCCTTGGAGAACCTGCACAAAGGTATTGTAATCATGGAGAGAATCCCAGACTGGTTTGGGTTGAAGGGACCTTAAAGCTCACCCAGCTCCAACCCCTGCCACGGGCAGGGACCCCTTCCACCGGAGCAGCTTGCTCCAAGCCCCTGTGTCCAACCAGGCCTTGAACACTGCCAGGGATGGGGCAGCCACAGCTTCTCTGGGCACCCTGTGCCAGCGCCTCAGCACCCTCACAGGGAAGAGCTTCTGCCTTATCTCCAACCCAAATCTCCCCTGTTTCAATTTTAACCCATTCTTCCTCGTCCTGTCCCTACAGGCCCTTGTCCAAAGCCCCTCTCCAGGTTTCTGTAGCCCCTTTAGGCACCAAGGTCTCCCCTTCAGGAGCCTTCTCTTCTCCACCTGACCCAGCCCTTGATATTCCATGCACTTTCCCTGAGCTCCCACACACCTTATTTTTTGGCTTTTTGGGGAAGTGATAGATTAATGCTTGTGGGTCACATCCCAAGAGCTGCAGGGAAGAGCCAGGTTCTGCAGGAGCTGGGAAACCATGTGTGTATGGAAGCAAGGGGTTAAGCACCCTTCTCCTCCCAATACAACGGGGAATGGTTGGACTTGATGATCTTAAAGGTCTTTTCCAACCTGGTTGATTCTATGATTCCCTGCCATTATTTAGTGGGCTTTTGAGAATTCGAAGCTTTCACCAAACGAACTGATAGCATGAAAGTCCATAAATCCCCTGGGTAAGCTTCCAGGGAGGTTTGTAACAAGCCTTATCCTGATTACAGGCTTCAGAGCTTTTTCTAATGCAGCATTGGCTTTGTCTCCTTTTCCTTCTTTGCTCTGCAAGACACAACTAATTCCTTGTGACAGTGGCTAGATTTCTTTGCTCGTTGCCATGAAAACTGTCAGAGCACCGCAGAGTTGAGGACTCTCTTGTCCTGCAAAACCATGGTTATCCAAACACCGTGCTGCAGGTTGGCTGCAGTAACAGCTCAGATAATTTGTTGTTACCACCTTCCATATCACAGTGTAGGAGCCAACATGAAATGGATGCACCTTCCACTAGATTCAAAGCCCTGTTGCTCAAATCAGCTCTTCAGAGCACAGCATCCAAACTCTGAGCAGCAGCAGCTGGGTCCAACACGTGTGATTCCACCAGGCACAAAGCAGACGTGGAGCCAGCACAGTTGATTTTCCTGGCATGGAGAAATGTCACTGTAGGAGTAGTGTGGCTACTCTTCCCTACCAACACTTCTGGCGAAAAAAGAAGATACATTTAGGAACCACTGTTCCAAAGGAAAAGAATTCCTGGTTATTACAGTAAATCCTTAGGAGGTATTTCAACTCTTGAATCAGAGCATCTTGCGGCAGGGGCATTGGAATTAGATGATCTTTAAGGTCCCTTCCAACCCAGAACCATTCTCTGATGCATATTATTCTGGTCTTAAATTTTGGAGGGTAGAGAAAAGCCTTTTTCTTCTTCCCTTCTTGTGCCCTGCACTGAATACAGCTCCAGTGGAGCCAGTGATCAGGACTCCCACCTTCCAGCCCTGCTGATGGACAGTCCTGGTGAGCTGCTCTGCACCCAGTGTTCTGTACCAAAGTGAGCAGTGTCTGGAAACTGGCTTTAAAACATGTCACATTCAAGACTCTGTAAATACATCAACAGGTCTTTTACAAGGTGCTGTTGAAGCTTTAGTGCTACTGGGACAAGGTGACTGTGTAGCTGTTTATGGTGACTGTGACTGAGAAAGTTAGATTCATGTTTCTCAAAGATCTATATGTAGGAGAAGAAAGTTCTGATTCTTCCCCTACTCCCTGCTTTCTCCTCTCTCCCTCAGGCTTTATGAGAAACATGAGATGCGGGTATAAAACTCAAGCTCCATATTCACTCCAAGCTTTCAGAGGGTCATAGTGTACCAAATAACCTTACTGAGAAGTTAATGGAAATCTGTGGTCATTTTCAAAATACATGTTTTTCATAGGGATATGAACAGTGCCTTAGGAAATAAATGTAGCTGGGTAATGTCAGGCAAGGACAAGATGCTCAGCAGTACCAAACACAAGGTGTTTACGTGTTTCTGCTCTTCCTGGAACACCACAGAGATGCTCCTGTCATCAGTGAACATCTTGTGCTTATAGAGAATTTCCTGATGCAATTTAAAGAGCCCACCTGCTATTGGGAGTACTGAGCTTTTTGATAGCAAGATTTAGTCATGGTACTTCACAAAGAGCAAGCTTTATATAGCTCAGCATCTGTAGTACCATGTTAACAGCATATGTTAACAGTGGACTCAGATATCCTGTTTCCCGCCCATTTTTATTAGGGAAGATTACCTTTGAGAAGATACCACTTGAGCTTAAGATGCAAGTCCAGAAGAACCTTTCCGTTAGTTATAGCTGAGCAGGAGCTATGCTCAGCATCTGCTGTAGAAACACTGACTTCATTGTCTACATCAGTGTTCACCAGCAGCAAAATAACCCTGGTTAAAAAGCGTGCTTTTTGTGGGATCTTTTTTGTTCCCCTCAACTCATTTATTAAAGAGGCTTTGTAAAAGGTATGGGTGTGGGATCAAAGTGCTTTACAGGCCTGGAAGTCAGAGTCATTTTGAACAGAGGCTGTAACCTCCAAACTGTTGCCTGCCCGCCCCCCCCACGCAGAGTGATGGTTTACTCTCCTCAGATGATGGCTTGGCCTGTGAATCAGCCTTGCTTTTGCTTCACGATGCTTGCAAAGACCTTTATCCATCAAGAAGTCAGCGCCCAGAGGGCAGGTGCCAAGACTGGAAGGATCTGGAGGTGCTGGGGGGGTGAACTTCTTGGTGCAGCTTCATTCAGCAGTTGCAGAAATGAAGCCAGGCTGACATCAGGGGGAGAGTTTAATATTAAAACAATAAAGAACCACGAACAGTGTGTTTAGTAAAACTTCTCCACAAGGTACTGATTCGCATCAAGTAACATTGGACTTTGTGGAGGAGGTAATGTTTAAAAATGGTTAGCTGCTCTATCTGAGGCGTCAGTTGTGTGTGTTGAATTGAAACTGTATGTGTCGCCTGCCTCTGTGTCATGTACCGTAAAAAGGAGCTGCTACTGTGTCTTTCTCCTTTAGCAGTACCTGATGGTGCTTTAAACCACTGTAGTGACTTTGCAGTACATTGTAGTTGCATGTCTTGCCTTTCAGATAAAGGCTTTTTCTCTTTCTCACAGAGAGGAAGATCCCTGATGAAGATTTCATTATATTAATTGATGGTTTAAATGAGGCTGAATTTCACAAGCCAGATTATGGAGACACCATAGTATCATTCCTGAGCAAGATGATCGGGAAATTCCCTTCCTGGCTGAAGCTGGTAGTGACAGTCAGGACAAGTCTACAGGTATGTTGAGACCAAGAATTGATAAGCTGTGTCATTGTCAATGTGGGCTTTGATAAAGATCTTAGTGGATATCTGGATTTGCTTAGACCCTTATTTCAGGTTATCCTTTGGGGGTTTTTTGTACTTGGATTTACATTCATGTCCCCAGACTCACTTTACAGCTTTGAGTGGATCTAATCCAGCATTGCTTATTCATGTCAATAAATGCGCATCAGCAAAGAGTTTAGATCATTTGAATGAGACAGCTTAAGTACCAACAGGCTACTTCCCAAGCGTAATAGGAGGGTAGGGCCTAATGTCTGTCAGTGTTGCTTGTGAACACCCTCTCCTCCATGTGGAAGGGCAAAATAATCCCTATCTTCATACCCCTTCTATGTGACCCAGAGTGTGAGGCTCTGATTGTTTCAGTCTGGAGGAGTGAGTGTCAGGCCAAGGCATAATTCAGCTCAGAGAAGACTACCTTGAGCTGGTGCTGAAGCTCTGAACGTTCTTGGGGGTTTAGGTTGTCCTGGAGTATTAGTGTTTTAATTTGCAGCTGGGCAGGTTTTTACCTTCAGCCTGTCCTTAGCTCCTCACCACCATCCTCTGGGCAGAAGGACTGAGCTGACCTTAGCTTGTTAGCACAACTGCTCATATGACTGGAGCAAGCTGGGAATCATAATATCCCAGACTGGTTTGGGTTGGAAAGGGCCTTAAAGCTCCTCCAGCTCCGACCCCTGCCACGGGCAGGGACACCTTCCACTGGAGCAGCTTGCTCCAAGCCCCTGTGTCCAACCTGGCCTTGAACACTGCCAGGGATGGGGCAGCCACAGCTTCTCTGGGCACCCTGTGCCAGCGCCTCAGCACCCTCACAGGGAAGAGCTTCTGCCTAAGAGCTCATCTCAGTCTCCCCTCGGGCAGGTTAAAGCCATTCCCCTTGGCCTGTCCCTACAGGCCCTTGTCCCAAGCCCCTCTCCAGGTTTCCTGCAGCCCCTTTAGGCACTGGAGCTGCTCTAAGGTCTCCCCTTCAGGAGCCTTCTCTTGTCCAGGCTGCCCCAGCCCAGCTCTCTCAGCCTGGCTCCACTGTGCACAAACACAGTGACCCAGTTTGGGCAGATCTGCTCTTTCAGCTCTTTCACAGCAGAGCTGGTTGATTTGCAGCATCACTTGCGGGAGCATTCACACTGAGTGTCAGAGCCAGGAGCCCAGAGGAGACAGATGTCGGAAGGATGGGACACACATTTGGATTCCAGCTCAGAGCTGCTCTTCAGCTGGCCCAGCTGCTCCAGGCAGAAGGGATAGTCTGCAGCTCCATAGTTCTCATTTTTTCATTATTAGCCCTTTTTTTCAGCAGCACAGAGCTGTGGAGTTCATTTTTACTGAGCTCCATTAAGCACCTTTACTGAGATTGACTAATATTTACTGAGATCCACAGATTGATTTACTGTGGTCCTCCTGGCAGGGCACTGAGTGCTGGTTCCATCAAAGCAGGCAGCTGCTGCATGCTGCCTTGGTAACAAGGAACAGCATCTGCTCCCCAAGACACCAGGAGAGCACAGGCTGCTTTGTGCTGGAGTTCTTTGGGTTTGCTCATTAATGGAGTAGATTAAACATCATTTGGAAGAAATCTTCTCTTAGTTGTAGGTAAACTGCATCCCTATGACTTGGATCCCTCCTTTCATTGGGGCTTTTGCAGCCCTGTTGCGTTCACTGCGAGCCTGAGGTTTGCACTGTGCTCACCCTCTTCATTTTCTTGGGAAGTTGATGTCTGCCTGGTCCAGCTCCATTGTGCCATTCCTCCTCTCTAGGCAGAGAGTGAAAGCCCAGGATGCAAGAATTCCTTTGGAAAGGCCTTTGGTGATCTTTGGTTTATGTTGTATAAGCATCATCACTGAGTTCAGCAGAATCCCTACCTTGCAGCAGACAAATGTATTTATTTGGCACTGGAAAATAGCTCACATTGGTCATCTGGTTGTCCTTTCACTCTGCCATGACAGCAAAAGGGATGCCGCTTTGATACGTGGTGGGAATGGGGTCGGAATAACAAGGGCACTGCTCGGGGTTAATTTGCCAGCCATGGTTGCAGTGTTTAGGAGCAGTGTCCTTCAGTTTTATTCCAGTCACGTTTCGCACACAACCTACTTGATTATAGATGAGATTGTGAGGTCCTGAGGGCACAAACTGCCACCTTGTGTGCCTGCCCTGATGGAAGAGGTCTTAAAGGAGTCTCAAAGGTGCTGTTGTAAAAAGAATTACATTTACTTAATGAATAATAAACACTGCCAGCATGAGTTCCCTTTTCTTTTGTCCTTTCTTTGTAGGAAATAATTAAGCTGTTGCCCTTCCACAGAATATTTTTGGATAGACTGGAAGAGAATGAAGCTATAGACCAGGACCTGCAGGCATATATCCTTCATCGGATACACAGCAGCTCGGAGATCCAGAACAACATCTCGCTCAACGGCAAAATGGACAACACTACGTTTGGCAAACTCAGTTCTCACCTCAAGACCTTGAGCCAAGGATCCTACCTGTACCTAAAACTCACTTTTGATCTCATCGAGAAAGGATACCTAGTACTAAAAAGCTCCAGCTACAAAGTAGTGCCAGTGTCTCTGTCAGAAGTTTACCTATTGCAGTGCAATATGAAGTTCCCAACGCAGTCTTCCTTTGATCGGGTTATGCCTCTCTTGAATGTGGCAGTGGCATCTCTGCATCCATTAACAGATGAACATATTTTTCAGGCCATTAATGCAGGTAACATTGAGGGCACTTTGGAGTGGGATGACTTTCAGCAGAGGATGGAGAACCTTTCTATGTTTCTTATCAAACGTAGAGATATGACGCGAATGTTTGTTCATCCCTCTTTCCGCGAATGGCTTATTTGGAGAGAAGAAGGTGAAAAGACCAAGTTTCTTTGTGATCCTAGGTAAGCAAATGTTCTGAGAAATCAAGAGCTTACAAATGTGTTCACCTCATACTGTTATCTGTATCATGGATGGGGTTACCTGACTTTGCTCTGCAGATCTCTACCTCCGTATTAGTCACCTTAGGTCTGTGTTCATGGAAAGAAATAAGCACTCCCTGGTCACACAGCAGGCCCCAGGTTGACTACTTCCCATATGGGCATCACCAGGGATGCCTTGTGTTTCGCAGAGCACTCCTGGAGAAGGGGAATCATCCTCCCTTTCTTCAAAGATGCCAAAAGCATGTGAAATAAGAGGATAAGAAGGTGAAAGATGAGTGGTGTGGCTGCGTCTTTTGCAAATGTCGTTTTGAAAACAAAATCAGGGGCAGAATCGGGCTGAAGCAGTTTTGGGCTGTAAATGCATCTGTAGTCTTCATGATAGCAACTGAATGCTGGTTTAGCTCGCAGGGAGCAGAATTTAATCATGGTTAGATTTATGTTCTCTAAACCCAATGATCACTATTAACAGCGTTATCTTTGTTTCTACTGAAGAGTGGGAACAGGCACTGATTGCTGTTCCAGTGGTTTATCCCCACAAGCTTTGCTCCATTTTGGCTGCCTATTTCTTCAAATGTGGTGATAAACATCAGGGAGACGCTCAGATTCAAGGCTGTGCCACTGCTTATACCAGACCTTATGGTCAGTCTGAAGGGAGGCTGATGGTATCTGCTGGAACTGAAAATCAACCTGGCTATTAGCTGTTAGCAGTGCCAGGGTGATTTACCACTTTAGGTTTTGTGGTAAACAGGCTGCAGGAGAATAACACTGTATAGCTCCTCCCCACGGGCATCTTCTCTGGCTTAGGAGCTTGTGCACAGGAGTCCCGTCGAGCAAACCCTTTGTAAACCATCTCACAGCAGCAGGTGCCTTTATATCAATCCGTGTTGGTTCTTCACTATCCTTCCTCAGAGCCATTAAGTGCTTGTCACTGTCTGATGCTTTTCCACTCTGTTTGCAATGCCTGGCGGTGTCAGCTTGCTCCCTCCCAGTTGTTCCCACCCAGCGCTACTGGTTTTGGCTGGCCCCTGTGGTTTTGGCTGCCCTGGCCTTTCTGCACACAGCTTCCCAATCCTTGCATCGTCTCTGTGGCCCTTCTGTGGACCCTCTCCAGCCTGTCTGTGTCTTCTAGTAGAGGGGGGACAAAACTGAACTTCACTGTTAGGAAAACAGAATTAAGGTGCAGGATGCTCACTGGTGGGTAAGGCACTTGGCATAGGTTGGGTGCTGCATGTGGTAGCAGTGCATACAGCTGGGCAATGTGGGGCTTTGCTTCTGTGAGTCCGGAAATCCTCCTCTTCATCCTCACAGCGATGGGGGAGGATGTTCTTTGAATGCCAGCTTGGGAATGAAACTCAAACATGCTGCATTTTAGGTGGTTTTGCACTGAAACCAAGCATGCGACACGTGTGATTTTTAGCATGAAGGCACAAATCAGCCTGTACTCCCTCACCCAGTCACCAGCAGGGTATCTCTGTTCAGGTTTGGTGCTGCCTTTCATGAACATCACAAACACGTCTCTCTGCCCTCGAAGACCATTCAGGAGCCTTTCAGATACCACTTTTCATCCCATATGTGCCATTTCCCATGATAAATTAATGATGACTTTAATGTGCACAAGGAGCACTCCTGCTCTTTGCAGGTAGAGGATCCCTGCAGAGCTAACTCCACTCAGCTCCTTACCCCTGGTGATAAAGAAGTTACAGCGAGTGTAATGGGCTGCCACTGCCTTGAGTCCATACGTACTGGAGGACTAATAAATGTCTCTAATGTATAATGGACACTAATTGCATTATACTCTGATGGTAGATAATGAAACAGGATCCATTTCAGTGATTAATAGAGAAGACCCCCTGAGATTCAGCAATTGCACTTCTCCAGCTCCTCCTGTCCAGCTCTCAGGAAAGAGCTAAATGAGATGTTGAGCTCAAAGCATGGTAAACCCTTGGCAATGATTAAGATAAGTGATGATCTTTCATTTTGGTTCTTCTAACAGAAGCACAGCTTGACACTGACAGAGCTCGTAGGAGTAGCCTATGAAAATCTGCCTGCGTCTGGGCTGTTCCCAGCCAGTTGGAATTCTTCTTGGGAACTGGGAAGACAGGGAAGCTGCCTGGAAACTTGCAGAAACACACTGTTCATGGGAAGCTTTTTGACCTTGCCAGGTCACTGTGTGAAGAGTCAGGTTGCTGAGGCTGGTTTTTCCCCCAAGAGAAGAGCTTTGAAGTGAAATGTGGTTTTATGAAGCTGCTTTTAATTGACTTACCCAGCAGAGTGTCCAGGTGTGAGGATGTCTTTAACATGTCTTTAACACGTCTTTAAAGGAATTGGGATAATGGGCCTTGTGTCCATGGCACTGCAGCTGGGGTTATCTTCCTTGTTTCATCAGAGAGAGTTCCTGTGTCCTCCTAGGAAGGAGGGTAGATCTCCATCCTCAGCGGTTTTGGGTTAGCCTGCTGAGATGCTAACCCTCTTCTTTGAATGTTCATTGTGTGTTTGGAATGTTCATTGTGTGTTTGCTGTGCAAAGCAAACACCAAGTGGCATTGAAGGGGAGCACTATTGTAGAATCCTAGAATCAGCCAGGCTGGAAAATACCTTTGAGCTCACCCACTCCAACCGTTCCCAGCACTGCCAAGGCCACCACTGCCCCATGGCACTGAGGCCTCGTCTCCACAGGGTGTGAACCCTTGCAGGGCCGGTGACTGCAGCCCTGCCCTGGGCAGCCTGTTCCAATGCCTGAGCACCCTCTGGGGCAGGAATTGTTCCTCAGCTCCATCTAAACCTGCCCTGGTGCAGCTTGAGGCCGGTTCCTCTTGTCCCATCCCTTGTTCCTTGGGAGCAGAGCCCAGCCCCTCCTGGCTCCATCCTCCTCTCAGGCACTTGTAGGGAGCCATCAGGTCCCCCCTGAGCCTTCTCTTCTCCAGCCTGAACCCCCCAGGTCCCTCAGCCCTTCCCCATCACACTTGTGCTCCAGGCCCTGCACCAGCTCCATTCCCTTCTCTGGCCCCGCTCCAGCACCTCAATGTCCCTCTTGTAGTGAGGGGCCAGAACTGAGCAGAGGACTCAAGGTGAGGCCTCACCAGTGCCCAGTGCAGGGGCACAGCCACTGCCCTGGCCCTGCTGCCACATTGGTGCTGGTACAGGCCAGGATGCTGAGCTAGTGATAATTGTATGTTCAGGCTTACACTGGTATTTCTGAACCTGAATCCTCCTGTAATCTGTGCTTGTTTCTGCCTGGACTTCATCAGGAACTTCCATGCAATTATTTTCCGTGGGTTTACAATGCTAGTAAAGTGTTCTGTCCCTGAGCTGCTGCTGACTGTGAGAGAGACAGAAGTGATTTGCCCTGGCAAGGCAGTAAGAGTGCTGTAGTCAGATATGGACCCCAGAAGTGAAATCACTCTATCCAGATTTAAGTATCAACAGCTGAGTTACTTGTCTAGACTTGCTTTATAGTCAGAGCAGACAAATAAGAATGATTCATTTCATCATGAGCTAAAAGGCTAAAATAGGTCAGATGAAGAGTGTCTGGGAAGCATTTCCTCCTGTTGACTTTTGAAGGGAGCTTGGGGTGATGGGCTCACCAGGAGATGTCTCCAGTATTGACAAATAAAGCTGGAGGAGATGGATATCTCCAGGCTGCTCTTCTAACCAAGGCACAGGGGTTTGAGGTTCGCTTTTTGTGCGCAGAAATCGAACTGTTCCACAGCAAAGGCTCTGTTCTGCTTCGGGTCTCCTTGCCGTAGCACAGATGGCTGGTTAACTGCACTTACTCTGTGATTTACCATGGGATGGGGACAGCGGCTCATACTTTTTCTTCCACAAGAAGACCAGGAGCAGTGAAGACAGGAGTCACTGGCGCGATGATGGAGGAGAGGCTCCTGGTAGAGAACTTTGGAGGAATATCCTGCTGACCTCAGGCAGAATGAACTGCATGGAGATGCCAGCGTGTTCTTATGGATGCTGCAGATGTGGTGTTATTCTGAAGCCCCACGTACCTGTGGCCAGGTTTCCAGTAAAGCCAAATGCTTGGGTATGGGGAAAGCCCAGCAGGCATTTGACATCTCTCAAAATTGGGGTGTTGATGCCTTATTCCCTGGGCTGATGTGGCCCTGAAACCCCAGCTTGGAAATACTGCAGGAGGAATCAATACTCTGCAATAAATATCCTCTTCAGTGCACCAACACTGTGTCAGGCAGCTCCTGCTCATTGACCTTATCAGAAGGTACCTCATAACCAGGGCTATGGCAAAAAGAATCACCAGGGAGAAGTGCGGGTGGTTCCATCATTGTGGGGAGGGCTTCTCCTCATCTCTTCCCGTCTCTGCTCCATCCTTGATGGTGTGAAGGCCAGGTTGGATGGGGCTTGGAGCAAGCTGCTCTGGTGGAAGGTGGCCCTGCCCGTGGCAGGGGTTGGAACTGAATGCACTTAAGGTCCTTTTCAACCCAAACCATTCCATGATTCTACATCCACAAACCAAATCTGTCCCTGAACCCCCACTAAAGGCACCCTGCATGGATTAGCGTGGAGCAGCAATCCAAACAGCTCCAGTCCAACATGCTGAGTTGCCATGGTTTCCAGCAGAGCTGGCTTTTAATCCAGTGTAGGCATTTTGCAGTTCCCTTTTTCTCTCAGGAGGCATGCTGCAAGTGGAGACTTTCCCTGCACAAAATTAATGGGTTTATCTATTCCCCAGCAAAACGGAGAGTTTTCATGGATGCTTAATCTGATGGACCACTAACAGTCCCCAGTGGAAAGATATGTCATTTAGACAGCTCGTAGGAAAAGAAGTCAGTGGAAATGGTGCTTATATAAATGCAGGGATACTACAAACAGCTGTAAACAGGGGGTGGGTTCTTATGCTGTGCATCAGCTGCTTAGAAATTACCTATCCATAGCTCACCTGGTCATTACAGTGCATGGCTTAGTTGACTTTCTTCCTCTTTTTCTATTATAAGATTC